TGCGTTGAGGTCACCTGCAACAACCACTACGTCCGAACGTTTGGCTTTCGAGAGGAGGTTAGACAGTTTATGGTAGAACTCGTCCTTCACTTCATCCGAACTACAGTCAGTGGGTGCGTAAGCAGAGATTACAAAGAGACAACGGCGAGTCTCACTATTCCTTTTAGTTCTCACTGTGCCGTTCAGCCTCATAGCGCAGAGGCGACTATCAACTGGGATCCAGTCTAGTAGTGAGTTTTCTGCCCTGGTGCTTAATGCTATACCTACACCTGCAAGACCACGAGAGCTAGCTATCGAATCTCCAGAAACTCGAAGGGTGAATTTTGCAGATTCACCAGATTGGTCAGGAGAGGTCAGGTGAATAACCACACTTGGGTCCTGTATGCGTGTCTCACAAACACAGCACACATCCATGCCCCGAGTTGCTAGAGTCTTTGCCAACGAAGCCTGTTGGCCAATTTGACGGAGGGTGCGGACATTGAAGGCTCCAATATGTAATTTGGAGCGTGGTTTAAGGAGACCAGGGATGCTGTTCTGTGGACTCAGATCGTTGTCGAAGGCTGCAGAGGTAGGAGAAATTGAAGATGATGCAGCATCATTAATTAAGAGACGTGAAGGAAGATTAGAAGGTAATGATGGAGGAGGAGGATAGCAGTCAGAAGAAACTTGGGTGCTGACAGAGTTGTGAGGGCGGTTGACACTTCCCGGCTGCCCACACCGTGGAAGGCTATTTCTTCTTAAGGTACCTGAAAGAGATTTGTGTGACCGCAGAGCCCATCGGACATCTGCTTGAGGCCTGTCACACCCAGCCTTTTGAGTATGATTATTTTGAATTTTTGTATTTTTGGGGCCGGATGGTCGAAAGGAAACGACAAGTGAACCAACACCGCCGGCCCGGCAGACCGTGGGGCGTGGTGGAGTGTGTTATTTTTGGGGCCGACCTTTTCTAACCCCCCCTTCCACTGAGAAGGCAGCATCAGCTTGGCACTGCTGGTCATCCAAGGGAAACACCTTACTGCTGTCACACCCCATCCAGCTAGCAGCAGTACGACTTCGCCCTCAGACCCCCATCATAGTGTAGCAATTTACACTATAACGGTAACTGCTTTTCGTCTAACCACTACCCAACAGACCTTTCTGGTATGGTAGGACCTCGAGGGAACAAGCGTTCCACCAGCATAGCTCGTTGGGTCATTGTGATATGCAAGCCCGACCACCACGTCAAGGTAGCAGCTATCGGTCGGCATGCCAACACCTACTCAACTTGAAGTATGATACAGCTATGGTATCACCTTCTGAACTGGTTGCAGTAAACCTCCAAATACACTAAACATCAGTCAAACTCATCAGGTAAACCTCCTTCAGTTTGTTTGTATTATGGTTCATGCAATTTTAAATTTTGTCTATTTAAAAAGCACAAGTGCCGACAGTGTTATCGTTTTGGGCATAAAGAAAGTTATTATCCGCCAAAGTAGACTGCTCCCATAAGACTAGACGTCCGCTTTTCAAAAAACCCATTCAGTCGACTTCAAAGCAATTTTGCAACTTTCAAAGTTGATTTCCGGAACAAAAGAAAATATGTTAATCTCCCCGTTAGTGGTAAACTGGTTCGTCAACAGCTTGATACAGCTCACGATATAACCTTGATTTCTCGCAGCATGTGGCGCACACTTGGTTGCCAACAGATCCAACCAACTGAACACACCGCTCAAAATGCTTCGAAGAATATGCTAAAACTAGTTGGTGAAATTTGCTGTCATATACAGTTTGGTGGACGGAAATTCAATGATGTATATTATCCTACGAATCGCCATGATTTAGAATCACTTGTTTTGGACTGGATACATAAACTAGAAATTTTAAGTTTTCCCTTGAATTCAATGTTCTCATATAACGTCATCATAGCAAGACATGGTTTCACCTCGTATGTCTGATTAGCCACTATCGGAAAGCTTACTTCAGAAGCATGCATCACTCTCTATCGCGGATGACGTATTGAAAGTAAAGGGGAAGGGACGACGGATAAAGTACTGAATAATGTTTTGCTGCCTTACTGTACGACAACTATATCTTTCAATACCGAGCCAGTTATCATACACGGTCAAAAGGTTAGAACTGTCCTCGATGCTATTAAGCCTTAGCAAATAAAAACCGGGCAAAGGAATACGAAATTGGTAAATCAGCTCAATCACCATAAGGAGGCTAGACGCCAAGCCTTCAAATTAAACCAGTAAGTTTATGTAAGTGATTTTCATTATTCACCATCAAAGTGGGCACATGGTGAAGTGACTGGACGTCAAGGAACTGCTCTGTACAAAGTAAAGGTAGAAGAACAGACATGCACCAGGCATCCAAACCACATACAATCTTCAGCAGGGACATTAGACAACAAGCACAGGACGCAGAACGAAGACAGCTTATTAATGTCAGAAGAAGACCAAAGCCCCTCTAAATAGATTTAAATAGAAAGTCATACACTCTTTAGGTAGGGAGGTAATAGGAAGCGACCTAAATCGAAATCACTATCCTAAGTCATCAGCCGCTAAGTTAGAAGTTTTGAATTTCAACCTTGTTTCACATTACTGTGTGGGTAGGAAATACCTTATTGGACAGTTTTGTCGTACAGCTGACCAATCAGAATAAGTATCCAAATTCCGACCTAGTGACTTTATTTTCTGAGAAGAAACTGTACACAAATGATATGTTTCTTGTCAAATAAAGTTGTCTTCCTTAGTCACAGACCGGTCTTCATCTTCCGATTTTCGTGGTTTGGTGAAGTATCAGGTTCTGACGGAGAAGAGTCGCTATTCGTATCTAATCAGAGTGTCTCATTGGGTTAGTAGAGTTTCTCGCATTTTATATTATCCTGTCAGTCACTTCCACTCGGTCACTTCAGTCAGGTTTTCCATCCTCAAAGACAATAGACTTATTGACAGACATCTGTTTCTATGCATTCATTATTGTGTCATAGCTTTATTATTTTATATCCTTTTCACTGGTTGTCTCCTGATATCATTGTCACTATCGCTTTCCGCCCATCAGCTTCCGTTTGTTGTGGTATATGTATGAAGCGTAGCATCTTGGACATTCACTTATGAAATAGATCATACATAGTTCCTATGTATTTCCCTACTCTGTATCAATTCCTGCCTGATTACTAAAAATGATTTAAGGTGAAGTAATGAACAGCTAAATTGTATGAGTGTTTGGGTACCACCTAAACAATTTAACCAAAGGTTCGCATGAATCAGATGATAGACAATTGTTCTACTCATTCTAGGAAAATGTTGTAAGTAGTTGTACTTGAGTCAGTTCAAGTAGTTCGATAACGGATAACTTGCTAAAGTAGTTCGCGCTGTGTGAATATGATGCTCATTCCCATCAGTATTCAGTGCGGCAGTGCGGCAAATTGATATTATCATAAGTCATAAAATGGTAAGCATAGCTGATCGCCTAATGAATGAACATCCGAAGTGGATCAAGTTTCAGTTGATTTTGTAGTTTTTAGTTAGAACTCACTAAAAGGCATCTTTTAGGTATGTCACCGATAATGTTTTATTAATGATAGATACTAACTAGCTAGCTAAAACGTGTATTTCGTCCTATTTGGGACTTGTCAGCTGGATGTACCTACTCCCGAGTGAGCAATGTGGTTCCTAAAAAGACTCGAACATGGGACCGATCGCTCCAAATTTCACAGAGTTGTCCACTAGACAACCAAGTCACGATAACCACTTCTTGTGAGACGAGGATAATTTTTATATTGTCACTTGTATTAGCCACTACCCATCATTAATACAGAATTGAAAGAAAGGTAATATCGAGGCATCCGCGAAGGAGCCCATATCCCAATAGAGGCCGATCAGTGGGGTCGAATAAACAATGGGCTAATACAAGCAACAACATATCGCCGATAAGTTTATACAAATTATTCAGGGAACTGTTTCGCATTTTTATTACTCTGAAGTGACGACCAGAAACCTCACACTGATAAATCTTTCGGATGTCTAGTTAATTTTATTTTCTGATATAATACTTTGTTTCATTAGTTTGTGTTTACGGATAACACTATCTTTGGTTGTACGTCGGTAGTTCCCGAAAGGATTCTTGCTAGTTGCATGCACTGTTAGCAAAATATCACCATATTAACCAAATGGTTTGTACATGAAGTGACCGAGTGGAGGTGAATGACAAAATAATACACGAACAATACAAACTCAATGAGACACTCTGATTAGATACGAATAGCGACTCTTCTCCGTCAGAACCTGATACTTCACCAAACCACGAAAATCGGAAGATGAAGACCGGTCTGTGACTAAGGAAGACAACTTTATTTGACAAGAAACATATCATTTGTGTACAGTTTCTTCTCAGAAAATAAAGTCACTAGGTCGGAATTTGGATACTTATTCTGATTGGTCAGCTGTACGACAAAACTGTCCAATAAGGTATTTCCTACCCACACAGTAATGTGAAACAAGGTTGAAATTCAAAACTTCTAACTTAGCGGCTGATGACTTAGGATAGTGATTTCGATTTAGGTCGCTTCTATCAGTACATAATTTATTTGTTACATTCAACGTAAATAATTCTTCGCATTTGAATCACTTAAGAAATCGATTTTTGTTTTACTGAATTATGCATTCAGCTCACTATGAGTAAATTACATGTTCAAACTTTACTTCAGTCATGTAGCATCTTCAAGCATAAATAATACACCAAAATTATTAATGGTTGTTAAATTACAGTTTCTTAGAATTGATTTGTTAAACCAGATAGACTATGTTAGGTCAAATATCTGAGGAATTTAAGAGTACAGTTAATCTGTAAGCTTCATAAGAGTCTGATGCACAACTAATCAGTTATCATTTATTTATACTGACTGGTACTTCATTGCATATTAGTCAACAATAAGTAATTAAATTCCAAAAAATGATGATAAAGAGAGAAAAAAAGACACTTTTTTAGTGGAATTAATTTACAAAAGTTCATCTCACTTGATAAGTTACATTTCTAGCATATAAACTATGATTGTTAGTTATTTGACAAGCAGGAGCTTTAAAAGTTTCCACTTTTGTTTGTTTATTTCTATCACTAGTCACTGCGGATTTCACTGTTGACGCTCGTTTTGTTGATGGGTTACGTTTATTATTCATAGGTCTGTTCATTCAAATAATAAAACAATTACACTTCATAACAAAAATGAATTACAAGCAAGGAGTATATTGGGTAAAGAACACAATACTTTTTATATAACGTGTAAAGATCAGTAGCAAGAAAAGAGTCATAGATTTCAGGCTTCATACAAACCTACATTAGCTTCCGAATAGTTAGGCAGCATCAATAAACATTTATCCCTATTCTTCGCTCATGTAACCAGACACCTCTTCGCTACGCTTATTACAGATGTTGCAAATGACATTCTATCAAAACGCCTAGCTAGACCAGTCAGTAGAACATTTCATAGAGGTCGGCTTTGTATATCATTCAGCAGTCGGTCAATGTTTAATCCGAGACTAAAGGGTACCCTACCTAATCTTAGCTCTCCACCTTGCATATTTCAACTTAACTATTCCTGTGGAACTAGTTACGTAGGGCGTTCGATTAGGCAGGTATGTCTCCAGATACGAGAGAATTTACCAGCTTAGTTCGAAAAGGGCAAAGTGAAAATGGTGAAATGTTCAGTACTACTTCACCTAGTCGACATACGGCATCACGTAGGTGTTAATAAAGCTTTCAATGTCATTCAGCGTATTCCAATAATGATACCACATTTAGCTTGTCAATCCCTGCTCAACATAGCAGAGGCTGTCACAATAACACTGATCAAACCTGAACTCTGTATTCACAAGGAATATGTTCAAGCATTACTGCTCCATTAGCCTTCAGCAAACTAAAAGCTATTCCTGACTTCGTTATTCGTTACTTTTTTGTTCACTATCACATTATTCATCTCTATATGTCATATCAATATTCACAAATTTACTCACAGTCCAGTCCCTAAATCTTACTCCATTCTGAAAATTTAGGAAGAATTTAAGGGATACCCTAACAACTGACAAAATAACCAGTCAGGTTGTGGTATTTTGTTTAGGAAGACCATTTTTCATGGGACAGAAAAACATGATTGGTTGATTCATCAGTTGCTAGGGTGGCCTTTAAAGTCACTCGAAAATCTATTTCCCCCCTAGCTTGGCTTGATTTCACACTGTACATATGCATTTTATAATAGTAGGACGTGAAGAGAATTTATTGGAAAGAATATTTTTCGTTCAGATTGCTGCTTTTTATTAGTTGATAGTTTGAAAAGACGTCATTGTGTCGTATCTGCTCAGACTCAAGAATAATTCATATTTTATACCAGCTTTTCATTTTGTGAGTAAATTTTTTTCGAAAATTGCCGTGTTTCCTTGTTAGCGCAGGTCTGTGATTTAATAATCTATTGGTTTTAACCCACCACTATTAGAGTAATGCAGTTCGTACTATCTCAGTGTTCCCTTCATTCTAACTAATCGAATAATGATGAAAACGTGAAACGCAAAAGATTACTCTCTTCAGAAGAATGAAGTACATAAACGGATGACTGCAAAATACTTTTAGTCATAGATTGTCGTAGGCAGTAGCAGTGAGAATTGGGATGAACCTTTCGTCCCACACGGGACTCGTCAGCCCAATATACACTCATTTCAAATTAAGATGAAGGTTAATTCGGTACTGCACAACTCATCAGAAAATCTGAGGAGTTTGAAACCTCTTGAGGATTCAATATTCTCCATAAAATGTATCTCACTAAAATAATTAATGATGATAACAAATGAGTTGGAAAAGAAGGTGAAGAACGGACCCTTGAAACTAACGATTTATCTGTACAAAAGGTACATGGATGATACTTTTATCATCTGTGATCATCAATATGTTTGGAATCATGTTTTACAAATATTTAATAACTGCCACTCAGCAATTAAATTCACCTTTGAAGTCGAAAGTCGATCGCAAATTCACTTTCTTGATGTAGAGATGACAAGAAAAACTGATGGAACGTTAAGTATGTCAGTTCACAGAAAACCAGTGTGGAATGGTCAACTGACGAACTTAAGTAGCTGCGTCCTCATGAGTCGTAAGCGAAATCTGATCATATCTCTTGCCACTTGCATTAGACGAATATGCAGTCCAGATGTGTTAGAAGAGGAAATTTCTGTTCGAAAGAATATCCTGATTGAAAACGGATTTCCATCATGCTTCACAGACAAACACATCAAACCTAAACCTCGCAAAGAGAACCTTACCATCGTGCCGAAAAAGATACTCTATATGAATCTCAACTTCAAAAGGGTTCAAGAACACTATCCTGCGTGCTTACAAAGGGATAACAATGGAGCGATTAGGAGCGCTATAACTGAGCACATCGTGAACACAAAGCACCCTATCTCAAAAACCTCCTCCTTCAAAGTCATCTATAAGGTGAAAAGAAACCTCCCAGAGGTTGCATGTCTTCGTATTCTCTGCATCACCAAAGCTCTTGCGAGCCAAATGGAGAAACCTGAACTGTGTACACAAGAGAAGATTGTTCAACTCCTTCTCCTCTCATGGTCTTAGTTTTCAGTCTGTTCTACTCCCCCTCCTTTTTTTCTTTTCATTTTTCTGTTTTGACACTATTCACTTCCTAAGTAATTTGCTGCTCATTCCTGTTGCTATGCCCTGCCTGATCACAATTCAGTTTCCAATTATGTCATTGTCATGTTACAAAACTTCTCGAAACTTGTTTTGATTAATATTCACTGCTCATTAGTTTTGGGGGTTTTTTTGGATGTTTTTTTAAACTTTAATGACAACTCATTTATTGACGCTATTTGTGTTGCCATGCCTGACAAACCGTTTTAACTAGAAAAAATGTATAAATTTGCGATTGTACAGCTTTGAAAATGAAATCGTCGTAGAGAGACTCTTCGCTGAAGTACTTGTTCTTCCTTCAAAAATCGATAACGAAGTAAAAGAACTAAGTAGGTCATAGAAACTGATATTAATGGCTGAAAATAACAAGGTGGACAATAAACTGCTGTAACCATCACTCCAAAAATGTGGTTATGTGAAATAGCAGAAAAATTCCATAGTGGAGATAAATATTTGCCTTCACAGAACAGTAACTCAACAGACGGCTGTATCAAATCTTGATATTTGATCGCTTTGGAGACTGGTTTCATTCTGTGAGCAGAAAAGATCGACAGTTGGTTTTCGTATTCAAACAGTATTTTACTACTCTTCTGTTATAATATGAACAATTACCACAGCAGGCAAACAGAAAAATTAAGTAGCGCCTAGCATACTTCGCAACCACACAGAAAAAAGATATGAACGAAGATAAAACGTTGAAATAACGAAGCATAATATAAGAGAAGATATGATAAATCACTTTTAAGGTTTGTAGGAACGTTGGACTCCTAGCGGGACAGCTGTTTCGTTCTAGTATAGGACTCTTCAGCAGTGCGCATCCATGACGCTACCAGGGGTCGAACGCAGGACCTTCAGGTTTCGCGACCAGCACGTCACTACTGAGCCGTTGGGTCAAAATTCAGTGGCCATTGGACCTGAAGGTCCTGGGTTCGATCCCTGACGGGGTCGCGAGTGTGCACTGATGAGTCCCATACTAGGACAAGACAGCTGTCTAGTGCTCCCAAGTTTAAGATGTTTCCCCGACTGATATCAGTCCATAATGAATACCAACCTGAGACATAATAAATCGACGAAAGTTAGCAAAATTTTGAAGACAATAAAGAGTAAACGTTAATGTCACCATGACCGATTCTGAGGCATATTAAGGGAGACTCGAAGTTAAAATCGAACAGCACTCAGCAACCTTGTTCAAATTCGTGCAGTAGGCAATGAGCTGCATCTATTATGTGAGGGCTAACGATACTACCTGGTTACTCAAACCTCAATAGGTGAAGCGGGGTTCATTGATTCCCAACAGTTAAATGATCTTAGACAAACATCCTACACATCCCTATATGACTAAGACCATAAGTTGATGATAACATACACTAGTTTGATATCTCAGTCTTGCTTCTATTTGCTTCTTTTCTAGTGAATATTCATCTTCTGTATGAAAATGGAAACAAAAAGGTAACATAGGTTACTCGATAATGTTATGCAAGAAACCATAGGTCCATGTCTTATGAATCACTGAAACACTTTAAGACTTGGATCCTAGTAGTTTAGTAATGCCCTTGTAGATGCTGTAAAAAAACTGATACCTGATATGAACCAGTAGCAAGGTGATCCTCTGTAAAATCATTGTCCCACAAAACATAGATATTAAAACATTTAAATTGACTGGTTTCTAACTGACTGTTTAAATTCAGCTTCCAAATGATCTATATTAGTTTGTATATTTCTGAATTACCAGAAAGACCTTGTGCATCATTCAACAAGTAAAAATAATCAGAACAACAACAATTACGTACAAATTGATATTAACTATCATATAATAAAGCAACAAATAGTTTGCAGAACAATGAAAGATACTGCAAGGAACGGGAATAAAAAGGTTAAGGTGAGTACGATGTTAAGTAGAAAAATAAAGAATGAATGAGTATCCTACAAGTGTTTATTGTAGTTAAATTTTGCTTCTTTACACTGATATGCAGTTATTGATGACCATTGTTCATCTCAACATAATCTGCTTATAGATCATTGGTTTAAGTATTCCACTTTTAACCACCTACCGTCTAGTTTAAGCATATAACGATGTAGTATCGTTATTTTACACAGTAAGTATAATTTATAGCCTGGTATATGAAACTACATAGTTGTCAAGTGGTTCGTTCGCTGTAGTTTACTGGTGAAAATGGTCGGCTTTCAGTCTTTGAGTCACGAACTCGAACTCCACTTTATCTGATTTAGTTCAGATAGACAGGGAGTATCATCAACTCTAACAAAATGTGTAGCTTATTGCTTAGCATACGAAATGCAGATGAATGTTATTTTCACTGAGTGACACTCAATATGATATACGAAATTGCTCTGATTGGTTCATTCAGTAAAGAGTTGACAAATAGAATCAGTTACTTGATCTAGAATATAATTGGAGTATTAGTCATATAATAGCTGTATATTGTGAAAAGTGGCTGTCGTTTGAATGATGATGAAAGAAATTGAAAGTTAGTGTAATATAAAGTGTCATTCTTTCGAATATACAGCAGGATTCTTTATCGACAACACTACATGATGAATTCCTTGTCAAAATTCTATACTTTCCCATGAAATGTTAATATTTTTAAGAACTTTCGAACAACTTCACATTGATAAGGGTTATTTGATAGGATGTAGTGCATTTTTAACAAAACTAACTACATTAGTGGTACTCGCAAGGTACACTGTAATGAGCGAAAATTATGACCACTCAACATGATCAAGAGTTTATTATAGGCTTCCAATTGATGATGTATTTGCAGGATTGCAAGCCAATGAACAACAGTGAGATTTTATTTGGACTTGTATGCTGAAAAAAATCATTAAATGGGATTGAAAAGGTACGAAATTTGGAAAATGTGCCTATGTTGGCTATCGAAATAAGATGAAATGCAAATCTGACACCTGAAAATCATACCAATTTACAAAAGTCACCAACTTCTCAGATGATATTTTGTTTACTTGATAGCTAAGTGTTGGGATATAAAATCTACTGACTGAAATGTAACCACAGTATGATGTGCAACTAGATGAAAGCAATCTTCTATGTCAACATGATCAATGTATCTAGCTTATGAGAGTACCCAGATCGTTACTAAGTTTATACAATGTCATGTACTGATTTATTTCACGTACAAATGAAGTCACGGTGTGTTCCATATTTCAAACTATTAAAAATTACTTAGCTATAAATCAGTATATATCAATATACGACTGCGCAACGGTCCAAGATGTCGCATCTCATATTCATACATCAAGGTAGAAGGCAACGAAAAGAAGGATAGAGAAATAGAGAATGAAAATATAACCAAGTAGTAGGAAATCATAAGAAGAGAGGAAGAAGGGAAAAACCAACGAAAATTCGGTATGACGATTGAGGTGAAGTTAATGTGTGCATGAATTTGCATCATTGAAATCTATTCCGAGACATATTGTCTAAACTCTGCAACCAGCTATTCCAGTTTCCACGTGGAGCCCAACCCGAAAGTTCACATTTTCCTACATCGTTCAAACAAGCAGTCACAAAATTTATGTGTAGATACCACAACTTGATCTGGCCACCTTTAAATGTATTTTAGTCTAAATCCACTCCATTTAGTATTGTGCAACAGGATAGAGGATGACTCGACGTGAATAACAAATATCTCAGTCACCTGGTTTTTTACGAAGTAACTATCACTTTCTGACCCTATACACTAGTAACAGCACCAGGTTGAAATACAATCCAATGAATGATATCTAGGCACAGATAGTGTTAATGCCCACCTAAAATTTACGTATAGAATTTCCAGGAATACTGAACATGAAAAAGTACTGAAAAGTACCAATAAAACAGCGTTTCACTAATAAATACGCCAACTTGAAGAATATATTACGCAACGCTTAGTTAAATAATCTCCAAAAGACTTTAAAAGTATAGTGTTCAAGAAGACGACATTGTAAGAGGTATATACGTTAGTTAGAAGTCAGAATAATAGTGTGCCTGCACGATTCGAGAATATTTCCTGAATAATACTGTTTAGCTTTACCTTTTCTACAGTAATAAGTATAACACGGTGGACAGTAAACGGCATGAAAGTCGAAGTTCATCCCAAAATGTCAACACACATATGAGGGTGAGAATTACGGTGACTACAAGTAGTAAAGTATACAAGAGGGAAAATGACTTCATCTATAGTAACAAATAGTATAACACAACAGATATCAAGAATATTTTGACGATAGGATTATATAGAACTGTGTCAATCAATAGACCCAAGACTAAGTCTTTTAAACAACCAAGAGATAAAAGTCACCATAGGTTATTCAAGATAAGTTGTTTTGAAGTAAGTAACAGAAACAACTAACCGTTTATTTGGAATTGGAACATTTGTAAGCCAATCCATTGATATTGAGTCTTTTGGCATTTCACGGAAGTCTTTAACCAAATGCTGTAGAGTCAACAGATTTTTCTCTTTCGGTTCAGCATAATACTGCATCATAATATAAAGCATCACGATGGTGCATATCATAATGAAACATAATCGTCGTACAAGCCTTAGCTTCATGGTTAGAAAAATGCTAAAACAGAATAGTAATCCATAACGAAAGACAAAAAAGATATAGGTTAATGGTTCATGCTATTAAAGAGTAATAACAACTAACACTAACATTTGATGCCATTAAAAATGAACTGTACAAAAAAACATGCAACACACATTAAAGTCGTGTAACGTACGATATACCTCAAAATCGATCGTAGACATCCATATATATGCTCGCCATATCTTTACTTAGATAATGATATTGTTTATTCTTTATCTTTTTGGTCTTTTCCGTGGGGTTACTCACAACTACTGGTGGTATTATTAAAACTTCGCTGACTTCCCTCTTAGTGACATCTCGATATGCTGTGATGTATAGCAATTCGGACCATTACAGACCAATATCAGACTTGAAGTTTATTTATCTTTCTGTCCTGAAATACACTGCTGTTAAGCATAAACAGTTTAAAACCATTTCCTAGCCTACTTCAAACAACGTGAAAATCGTTATTGCCCGTATTTATTCAAAACAGATTCAACGTGGGATTTCGAGACAGGATAAAACTTAGGTGTGCTATCGTAAAATTAAACTAGCGACTACGAAAAAACACTGGTACTAATTATTTTTAGTCGATCACAAGAACTGACGGTAATCAGAAATTGAGTCTACTGACTACGTCATTTAGTGAATGTAGTTGTTGAACTTGGCTGCAAACTAAAAATAATAACCATCAAACACTTGATCATCAAATGCTGCTTATTAGTATGAACAGTTTTTAAATACAGGTGTGTTAAACAGTATTGTGTTGATATTCTTGACTCTATTTGATCAGTTAAACAAATTAAATTTCATGATGTGAGGATTTCAATTTACAAAGTAATTTCTTGAAGTTGGCTTTTACTCAGTTGTAAAATCTTTAACTCAATTTTTCAACTTTACTAAAACTTTGTTTAGGAACTTTGACAGTAACTAATACTACACAATCGTCAAGAACCGAAATGAACAGAGCAGATTTAAGTCTGAAATTTAGCAACTGAGAATCGCATTTCCGAATCACCCAGACCGATAAAAAGAACAACATTAACCTAGCACACTGTTAATCACTTCCAGTTGCTATACTTTGTGCAGCAAGACCTACAGAGTTAGGAAAGCCTTGAGGTACAAAAGAAGAAACAGAATTGAAAGGAACTCAGCAACTATATAAACATTAACGCAGCAGACAATGGGCCGCACATATTGTTTGATGGTTAGTGATATAACTTAACTGCCAAGAAATCGTCAAACTGAGCGGAGTTCACACTTTTTCAAAGTGAGCCCAAAATGCTTGCGATCTAAGTGGGGATACTGCTCACTATTTATTCACCATTCTTATAAAAATAAGGGATGTGTTAGGGTTCAAAAGGTAGATTTGAAATGACTATTGCATACTGTTTTCCGGTTTGCTACCTACGACAAGAGGCTAGTTCAACTGAAATTGAAGGTTAAGGCAAAGGCGCTCAAAACGAAGGTCATAGTTCATTATAAGTTTTGATACTGGGAAAATAAAATATTACTGTTGGTGCGCTACATATTCTTAAAAAGGTGTACTTCCTAGTGCTTCATTCAAAAATGGAGAAATAAAGGGAATGAATTAGGAAATAAAGGGGCAATCCATTATAATGGATAGTTCGACTAAAACGTTTAAGGAAGCATCAACTTGTAGCGTCACATACTTCTGCAGAATCAATAGCCTAGGGTTCGACGAGAGTCGACATTGATGCTGATTATAGTTTCACTGAACTCTCTGAGCTGAAGGCACACGATCAAGCATCCGCGCCATTTGGCACCCTGTCATGTTACGTTGCACTGCTCGTAATCCATCCTCTGGCCAGCTAGTTGGAACGCATCGGTATCTTGGCGCGATCTTGCAAATATACTATTCCATTCGACTAAGCTATTGTGTTGTTACTTGGTCTTGTATTCATGGGTATATTACAAGGACGAATAGTCAGTGATAGGCCTCTGCGTCTGTCATTTCGCACAAGGACAATTCCCAAAAGCTCATCAAGTAAGTGTAATATATTTAATATTTTGGAAGCTTCAATACATATTACAAACACTTCAAATCATCAAATTAACTCCAGTAATTTAATATATTTTTAATATGTGAAAAAGATTGAATTGCTGGAGTTAGTGTGATTATTTGATGACCTGAAGTGTTTGTAATATATATTGAAGCTTCCAAAATACTAAATATATTACACCTACTGGATAAGCTTTTAGGAATTGACAGATGCAGAGACCAACTACTAATTATTCGTACTTGTAACATACTGACAAATATGAGACCAAAGAGCAACACAAATACTAAATATGTTACACCTACTTGATTAGTTGATGCTTCCTTAAGCGTTTTATTCGAAGTGTCCATTACAATGGATTGCCTCATTATTTCCCTATTCATTCCCTTTATTTCCCAATTTTTGCTAGTTTGGGGTGACTCGTCCGAATATAGTCAAACATAAACTATATGGAATAGTAGTTAAGTAAAAAAAAGACTGCGCTACCAGAACGATACGAAGAGTGAATGAAATTGATGTTAAAAAAAGAAATAATGCGTTAAGAGTAACATCATAAATCGTAACGATCGTTGCGACTTTCAATGCATTGATGCATGACAACCAAGCCAGCATTTGTTTTGGGCACACATAGTAACTTTTTGGTGAAAACCCGAAAATTTTACTTCGGGAGCAGATAGGGAGACGCACGATATTCCCCGAAGTTTCTAAACATTTCCCCCGAAACTTTCAATTTCCAAAATGCACCCAAATTGCATCCGATGAGCCCAAAGTTCACAAAGTGTAAAAAGGGCACCCTAGGCTATGTAATAACCCGTATTCACAGTTTTGAGAAGCCATATTTCATAATATTTTTATGTATATCGTTCACATTTCATTGCCACATGTGTTTGTGTTTAAAAACCAATGGAATGGAAACGGCCAACGGAAGTAATTGAAAAGTTTAGGGGATACTCGAAATATAATAAACGCAACCGAAGTTGCTTCGGGCTACAACCTCGGAAGTTTTAAGGTGCGCCTTACGTAAATGCTGGCAGGGAAATAACTGCTGACAATGCTATTTTCAGACTCACTGGAACAAATTCCCTTCAAAACGGTAGACAAGATATAAACATTTCATCGCCGCAATTTTCGAGTAAAAGCTAAGGACAGAGTTCATTTTCCTTATAATATATAAAGTGTAAAGACAAAATACATGGGCGACCTTAAAGTCTGTCCTAGCAACAAGCGAAATAACCAAGCAAGCCTTTCTATTTTATGAAAACCTGCCTTTTCAGTCGGAATTAAGGGACCTAACTGATTATCTAGATCGTTGCCAGGACTGCTGTTAAAGTCGCCCAACTGCATCAATAACCCACCGCTCAACTCACGCGCCAACAGTTCTGAATGACCTTTAAGGTCGCCTAAAATGTTTGGTGTTGCAACAGTTTAAGCTTCCACCGAAGTGACTCAGCATTTTGAAGCTCCTGTGTCTCTTGAACTTTGATTAATTTTCGCGAACCTTTAAAGTCAGTCACCTTAATATTACTGTTATTATTAGTCCCTTGGGTTCCTAGTGGAACATAGGGCTTCAGTAGCACGTCTCCAGTGACCTCTGTTCTCTGAAATCTTTTGAACCTGGCTCCACGACAGCCCAGAAGCTCTCATTTCCTCCTCACACGATCCCCTTCATGTCACCCTCGGACGTCCAACTCGTCGCTTCCCATGGGGATTCCACTGGAGCAACTGGCCTGACGCGTGATATCCCCAGTCGGCCTTCTCAGTGTATGCCCAATCCATCTCCACTTCCTTCCACTGCATATTTGTTGGGTGATAGGTTCTTGGTTGGTTCGTTCCCAGAGCTCCTTGTTGCTTATTCTTTCTGGCAATTCATCTGATCTTCAGTATCGAGCCAGCGTAAGCAGTTGTTGATGATTGTCTGTAGTTTATTGGAAATCCCTTTCGTGACGCGCCAAGTCTCTGGACCATACAGAAGCACTGACTTGAGTGAATTGGTGTTGAAAATCCGGATCTTGTTCACGTTTTATGCTGAGTGCAGAAGATCTCCACACTGGTTTCAGGCTAATGAACGCCTGTCTTGCTTTTCCGATTCTGACTTTGACGTCCTCGTCCGTCCCGCCTGTAGTTGAAACAGTGCTTCCTAGATAAGTGAAGGAGGTTATTTCCTTTAAGTTTCTCCCCTTGATGGTGATTGGAGTTTGTTGTTGTTGATGGTGGTGGTGAGGTATCTACATCACCTCTGTCTTCTCTATATTCACTTGAAATCCCGCCTTCGCTGCCTCACCTCTTCTGCCAACTTGTTAGTTTTCGCCTGTAGGTCTTCAAGTTTGTGTGACATCAGACACAAGTCATCGTTGGCGAAATCAAGTCTTCTAGGTTGTTTTCCGCAGTCCAGCGTATCCCCCTCTTCTCACAGCTCCCCACTGTTAGCTGCATGATCCAGTCGACCACAATCAGGAATATCATGGGGGAACCATGTTTCACTCCTGTCTTCACTTCAAAATCATCACTGAGCTTCCCATTGTGAATTACTTGGCTGGTATGTGGCGTCTTCATATAGTTGTTGAATGAGGCGGATAAAGGTTAGCGGTGCTCCGTAGTGTTGAAGCAGTTTCCAAATTACTTCTCGGTCGACGCTGTCAAAGGCCTTCTCAAAGTCGATGAAGTTGAGGTAGAGAGCTGATTGCCATTCTATGCTCTGTTCTATGATGATGCGAAGCGTTGCAATTTGGTCCGCACATGATTTGTACCTCCTGAATACAGTCAGCCAGCCTGTTCGGGTCGTAGTTTTGAATCTAGTGCATCCTTTAACCTCTCCAGGATGATGTGGCTTAATATTTTGCTTGCTTGGTGTGGACAGGAGGGTGTTTCCGCGCCAGTTTTTGCAAACACTGAGGTCTCCTTTCTTCGGCAGTTTGACAAGGTAACCCTTCTTCCAATCGATGGGCAGGTACCTTCTCTTCCTT